GTAGAAGACGTCAACACTAACCGCTATAACATACCTATGTATTTATGAATAATAAACTAGTACAACAGGTAACAGTTCCAAACTCGGAATACAAAATATGTACATATGAGCCATTCCTTTTTAAGTCGGGCGGATTTCGTAAAAAAAAAATATCATGTCTCCAATTCGCTTCGAATTTTTAAACGACTTCACAAAAAGAAAAGTTTAGCAATTCGTCGGAATAAAATTTAAATTTTAGCAAAAACCCGATTTTTAACACCTTGCTAAATATATCTCGTCATAAGTTTTCGAAAACAAATTTTGACTCCCACAAAATAAACTAATATTTTAAAAATAGTTCTTAAAAAACGCCAATTTTTTTGAACCATGTTTTTTTTATAGAGAATTAAATTAAACAAGTATTACGATGGTGTAATTTTAAATCTCTAATTTACTAGTCTCCACTGTGCAAATAAACTTCAAAAAAGTTCAACCCCTAAGAGCTAAGTTAGCTTTAGGACAATCATGTCCATCTTATATGGCCGTTTCTTTAGCTTTAAAACGACGTTAAGATGAAATATCTACGGTGAGCAAAACCCGAGATATAACGATTTGAAGAAGTAGATGATTAGTCAGAATCACGAAAAAATCCAAACTTTAACAGATCTGATCCCCAAAGAAAGAATTGAAAAAAATAAATAAATTTCCTCGAATACGTGTTAGCTTATTTCATGTACAGCGCTCATAAAAAAATTTGAAGCGAATCGAAAGAATGACACTAAATTTGGTGGCCGATATGAAAAAGAATGCTTCATATACGAAAGAAAAACTATAAAAATAGAGGAAAGAACTGTGGCTAGTAGAAGCCTTCAACTAAACCTATCTCGCTGTTTCGTCACCCGAAGTTGAAAACATGAAAAATTAGCACCTTTTAATGTTACAGCTAAAAAGGTCGCGATGGCCCGGTTCGGGACCAAAAAATTTAATGTCAGGAGGAGCGGGATCGGGAATGAATATTTAGTTCTGCGTCCATCTCTAATACGTATATATAGTAAGATATTGATTAAAAGCATTAAAATATATTTTTTACCAATATACATACAACTAGGTATTTTAAAAAACATCTACAAAAAAATATAAAATAATCTTATTTTTACAAATATTTCACAAAAAGTGCAATTTAACTACATACCTTTCACTTAAGAAAATTATAACTTATTAAATATTTACATTCATTTAAAATTATATAAAAATAAACGGATTAAAAATTTACAAAAATACGCAGCATTTCGATAAATAGAAAAAAAGTAAGCTTCTTTAGAATAAGGTGGCACCACACAGTGAAATGTTGAAGGTATTTTTAAAGCCATGAAGGACACTTTTTAAGTTAGTACGAGCAGTTAATGGGCATTATTTTAAATGAAGTTTTAAAATCGAGTGGCCGATTGTATTGTTTTTTTGTTTACTCATTAGTAAGTTTAGAGTTTTTCCTTAGTTCGATGAATACAAATTTGTAAAATTTTGTGCCACATAATCAGCATTCCAAAGTAAACGTTCTCTAGCACATATTTTAAAACTCCATTTTTAATCAAAGCATATTTATGTATCTGTATGTAAATTGCATATGTGTATGAAGTTATTTTGTTGTATTTATGTATATTTAAAAAAGGCGAGGAATAGTTATTAAAATAGAAATTGAGTTTAGTGAGTGAGTGAGTAGTTGTATTACTTCTTTGAGAAGGCGCATAATGCAGATAAAAGATAGATATACAATTTTTAGAAAAACTTAGCATGAAACTTACCGGTAGCACATTCAGAGGTCTCGTACGACATGGTTGATTGTACTTCTACTGCATTTTGCTCAGATCTAAAAAGAAAACAAAAATTTAAGAAAAATATGAGTTCTTAGGAAATAAAAAATAAATACGAAGAAATAAAATAGAAATGAATTATTCAAGATCTTTTGCCAATCCTAACCTAAAATTTAAAAATAGGTATTCGGGTATTAGAATAGCTGAGATTCAACTTTAAAAATAAAGTAATATACTTTGTACTGTGGTCTCGCTTTTAAGGAAATATTTACATATTTTTAACCCAATTTAAGATCTAGCCAACTCAAAGAGACATAATAAAATAACATCAAAATTTGCCATTATTCTTACCTCAATATCACATCAGTTATAACTTGCTTTTCCGTATCGGTATATTCAGAACGTCGCCGGCCGATCTTCTTCTCAACATCAGCCTCCACAAATTGTCCCAATGGTCGGGCGGGAAATTCGTTGGCCTTTGGCGGTGGCGCTATATCCAATTTTAACTCCTTTAATTTCTTCAACATACGTTCGAGTGCTTCGATTACGTAGTCATCGTTGTAGCCGAAATTTTTATGCAATTTCACTTGTAAGTATTCAATAATTGAATCCATATCGTTGAGACGCAATAAATCGTGCTTGTGCAAATAGAGTATAGTAACGGCCATGGCGGTGACGACACGCTCACCCTCCAACAGGTAGATGTCCCAAACGCGTAAAGCTAAACTAAATGGTATCTAAAAGGGAAAGGAGAAAAAGTAGAATAAATATATAGATATGCATACATAAAATGTGCGCAATAAATATTACATACATATAATATTAAGCCGTAAAGGTGAATGAAGTAATGAAAAAGAAAGTAAGCAGGCAGGCACACAATCAAAGTAAAACATATTTGGCGATGGACTACCATAAATGGACGGTGACCAAAACTGTATTTTAAGCAATACATGTATTATTATTGATTTAATATCTTGTGTTTTATTTTGATCTAATAAAAATGGGATTGCCTTAATACATGCGTGTAAGAACTTTTAATAAGTAATATTGCGATGTTTACGCATTTGAATTTTTATTTATATTATTACAAGAATTTACATTTGTAATAATTTTTCGTAGGTATCGGACAATTGAAATCAAAAACTTTTAACAAACAATCCTAATATATAAGGGGTATTCCCTTAAACTGAAAGCCTCGAAAGTATCGAAATAAAAATTTAAATTAAGTATTTTTCGTGTTTTCAGATTTCCAGTTATTCAAGTTTAAGGAGATCGCCTAATTAGTTCACTTTTCCGTACTCACCCGCTCCACAAAGATCACAAAGAACCACTTGATCGAATACAAAATGGCATCGACATTGTGCTTCATAAAATGCTGATGCAGCTTGCGCATCAACTTCGATAATATCCGATCGTGATGTTCTAGGAAGCGCGTCAATTTTGGGAAGCCCTCAATAAATAAACCATGCATAGCATACTTCCGATCAAAGATCAATTGATTGAGTGCCCAAAATGCCTCCTCCTCTTGCATATAGAGTAAGAGCACACCAGCCAAGCAAGCCATACCTTGGCAATAACCCAATTCTGGATTATATATGCTATACGCATTTAGCACATTAAATAGAGAGCACTGCTTAACGCTATACCGCTGGCGGTAAGCGAGATTATCACGAAATTGGCGATTCACATCAGAATCGATTTGTCGCACCTCGGTGGAGTATTTGCGCGCCAATGCTAACATAGACGCATATGTATCACGATTGGCCGCTATTAATTCGTCAACATTCAGCAACTTTTTCCATGCTGGCCAACGCATACGATCCGGTATACCTTTGAAGACACGTCGTCGCACCTTCTCGTTGTTGGGATTCCAATTGGCAAGCATTTTCACCCATTTCTTGTCGCGCTCCAATTCAATTTTGGTTCGCTGCAGCTCCTGTGAGTCGCGGGTATCAGGCAGGCGGGAGTCGTGCATGAAGCCATATCTATGCAGGTAAAGGAGAACAAGAAGAAAATACAGTAACTGTGAGAAAAAATGTAAAAGTAATGCTTTAGAATGTAAACTCTTGTAAATGAAGGCAAGTAACAGGTATTTATGTACATATACATATGTATAGTCGTTTGTTTGTATTCAGCTATGTTGGCAATTGAAGGGTTCATTGTAAGAGAATGGTATGTGGCACGGAACCAAGCTAGCAATGGGAAAAGAAAGAAGCTCACGACAGTGCACAACACACGTTTTGCATTATTTTAAAACATAAAACAAATAAAAAATTATGCACAAGTTGTTGCTTTTGTGTATATTTTCATCTTTTTGTTATTGTGTACTCTTATGAACACCTTTTATATTTGAGAGCTCTTATTATAATAGTAACTATAAAATGCAAAGTAGAATGCTTTTACATACATATTTTCTGCTGAAATTGCCTCAAGTGGCATTTGGCGCAGCGCATGAAGTGGAGTGTCGGCTGGTTACGGGAGGTGCATGCGCTCATGTAAAACATTGGCAAATTGCCCGGAAATGCTTGTGGTGGCCAACATACACACAACAACAAAAAGGAAGTGCTACTACAACTGCAGCTACCATCCATGAGCGTTTACGAGGCGGCAAAGAATAGCACCGGATTAGCGATTCGGTATTTATTAGGAGCTCATTTTGCATCTATACATATTTTTAGTGCATGCAACTGATGAAATGCATATTTTCTTATTTTATTCTGTGCATTTAAGAACTACAGTGGTGGGAAAATAAAAAGGCACGCGACATTTTAATAAGTTTTGGTTCTTTTTTTTAAGCCGACTACAAAAAAGGAGAAGGTTATAATTTCGTCGGAATATATTTTTTTTATGTATGTTACCGCCTAACTTTGGACCACGTTAACCGATTTTTATAATGCATATTATTTTTTATGAAAGTATACATAGAATGCTATCATACAAAAACCAAGCAAGTCCTAATTTCAAACTTTGTACGAAAATTCGGAAAATTCGACAAAGGTTCATCAAAATTTCGAACTTTTTAATCAGAATTTTTAGACAAATTTTGGTATGGCGTTTTATAGCCCATTAAAATTAAGGACATGCAAATGTTCGAAAACTCTTTTATATCGAAGAAAATGCACATCATAGTCGTAAAAAAATGCCAAATATCAACGGTAAGTCCTAGCTACTTAGAACTTGCACTTTATTGTGCTGAAATTTAAGGGGCTATACGGCCGCTGTGGTGTAGTGGTAAGCAGTGCGCGCTTCCACTCCGCAGCACCTGGGTTCAAGCCCTGGCCAAGGCAACATCGCAAAAAATATAGAAAAAAGATTTTTTCTTAACAGCGGTCGTCCCTCGGCAGACAATGGCAAACCTCCGAGTGCATTTCTGCCATGAAAAACAGCTTCTCATAAAAATACAATCGCCGTTCGGAGTCGGCGTAAAACTGTAGGTCCTCCGCTTTGTGTGACAACACTAACATATGTGTAAGCGCCAATCTATTATTATTAATATTATTATCATAAAACCTCATACCTATACATAATTCTGACTAAAAAGTTTGATAAAGCTTAATATAATTACATATTGAAATAAAAAGATGGAAATTTTGATATCTGTTGAAATTAGTCGAATTTTTAGAAATCTTGTATAACGTTTAAAATTTTGATTAATATGGATTTTGTTAGACAATGAGCTAGCTATACATTAAATAGATAAAAAATAGCCAAAACTTCTTAAAATGTCCCGTTCCTTTTCGTTTGCATTAAAATTCCGACTTTACTGTTTTTGGACCACTGTAATGTACATAGATATATTTGTTTACTTTTATGAATATCAATTTCAAGTCGGAGCATACATATGTAGATGCCGGATGAAGGATTTTAATTAAGGTTTATTAACGCAAATTTTTTATCAAGTTTCGTGACCCAACCACAATAGGCCACTGTTGGACAGCACTGTGAGATTTTATACATTAAATTGTTAATCCTGCTTCCAATTTACCCAGAATAATATGTACATACATATATACATGCATACATAAGTATATACATAAATAAGTAAGTTGGCCTTAGCTTTGCCTGATATGGAAATGCGTTATTTTATTCGAAGAATGAATCATTCCTATCAGAACGAGGAGTGAGTGGCAAGTTCATATGTATTTAGTCGTACATGCACAAGTACATATATAGATACATTTGTATCTGCAGTCAAATTTAGAGGATATCCCTCCATTTAACGTGAACATTTGCGAATTTAAGTGTGTTACACATCAACTGTGCCATGTCCAACAACTTCACACTTTCAGGCACATGTGTGCGTACAAACAGATGTAGATATTTACATAAATATTTTCCAAAGTATTTTTTTGTTCTTTATAATTTAATTAAACACTGATTGTATTTTTAGAAATACGCATGTATATATGTACATATGTAAGTGCTTTATCGAATGCGATGGTCTACATATACCTAACAAATTAAAAATAGGAATAACTTTACGCTTTTTTTTTTTGCTGGAAGTGATGAAAAGCACTTAAAAAAAAACGTTTTCGAAAAAAAAATCTAGCAGGCATGAGCCAACGTGAAAATGTGGTCTGCAGTCGAATCAAATTTTAGTTTTGGGGATTATGCCAACATACACTTGGATGAAGCAGCGATTATCCAGCTTCATTAAAACATATCTAAAAAATAAGTTATTCATGTTTCTCAAATTCAAAATTTCAAGAGCACAACATTAAATCATTGTCTTTTCCAGAAGAACGTATCCTGTCTAAAGGCGAATTCGACTAAGTAATATTAAGTATGGCAAAATCAACTTTTTTTCGGAGTATTGGACCAAATCAATTTTTTTTTTAAGAGATTGACTCATAAGTAAAAACGTTATTTCTCCGTTTTTCGAAGTTAGCCTCAGATCTCGATTATGGGCTTTCGAAGTTCGAAATTGGACCTTTGGTAAAAAGTTATTTTTAATTGTTGTATGTAAACAACAAAAAATGTAAAAATATGGACGTAGTCCGCCTATTGCCCTTATTTAAACGGTATGTAACTTTTTTGTACAAACTTATATTAAAGGTGCTATAGGGGTCAAAAATCAGATCTTTGAAAAATTAAAAAAATTATATTTCAAAAAAATTTTAACTGATGTTTCACCTCTTATAGCAGTTGTAATGTAAGGTTGCACAAAAAAAGATATACAGAGCAAAAGTCGGACCACGTCTATATTTTACTTTTTTAGTTGTTTAAAAATAATTTTTTACCAAAGGTCTTATTTCGAACTTCGCAGGCCTATATGTCGATTTCCGAGGCTAACTTCGATAAATGGAGAAATTACTTTTTTAATCATGACTCAATCTCTTAAATAAAGTAGATTTTGTGCAACACCCACCCAAGTCCTGTACAGTGTTATTACTATCAAAAAAAAATTTTGTTCTTTTTTGAACCGTATGAAATGTGAATGCAAGTATTGTAGCGTTGGCCATGTGTTGGCATTAGTTATTTACCATTTTTGAACAAAGCACTTGAAAATGCGAATTTGGGTCATAGTAAACGACCAGAGGGCAATGATGGTTCTTACTGCTTGAGAAAAAACAGTGTATGTTAAAAACATATCTACAAGATAAAAAAAAACATTCAAGTTCACCCCGAAACATTGTAGTGGGCCTCAAGACGATACGAAGTAGAGAATAATAAATTAGGAACTGCAGCCGACAAAGTCATTTGAAAACACATCAATTAAAATTATTGCCCCATCGTGAGTTCACGTTACAGTTCAGCATTTAATTATCTTCTTGTACTAAATTAAATATGTGCATATGTAGATATGTATGTACATAGCACATATATATACATATGCATACATAAGTTAAATGTTTATTTTATTCCAAAGGATACTTACTTGTCCGTAATGTGATATAACTCAAATGTGGGATTCTCCCAAGGGTCAACCACATTCTTAGGATCCAAACCTAGTGAGTAGCGATTGAAAATTGCTTCACGTTCATCGGCTGCACGTTGCAGCAACGCCTCTTGATCGTCGAGCGCCGATATATTCTTTCTGCTGATGTTATTGGTTAACGGCGGAGTATTTACGGTATCCCCTCCAGCGGCCGCTGCGGTTGAAGCCGCTGAATCGCTACTTGTCGTTATGTGCGTAGTTGTTGTATAGTTTGTAGCGGCGGGTGCAGTGGCAGGCAAGTTGTTTGTATTATTTACATTGCTGTTGGTTGTGTTCGTTATATTGTTGGTGTTGGCGCTGTTGGTGTGATTATAGCTATTGCTGTTACTGGTGATGATAGTGACGCTATTGACGTGCATAGTTGAATTCATGTTGGCAATTTTTGTTTTCTTTTATTTCTTTTGGTTTGTTGCAAGGCAGGGAGTTGTGCTGGCGGGGATAGGCGATAGCCACTGGCACTGAAGGCTGCCGTAAATCGAATTGTATGCGTTGGAAAGCCGAAATATTCGTAGCCCAAAAAGAAAATGTATCTCAAAGTATGTATAATGATTGATATATGTAGTAACTTGGTCCAGGGGATGTATTATGGTTATATATTTGGAAATTTGGAATTGCTTTTATTTTATTGTACTAAAGTTTTGGGTCCTCGGAAGTTTTTGGTCATTGATGTAATTGTTGAGCTCACGGTGCCTCTTACAACAACCGGGTTTTAATTACCTCGGGAATTACACTCAAATATTTAGATTTTTGCACGGTGGCACACAAGCCATGAAATTTGACGCCCCCGCTTTAGCGTGAAGGCAGTTAATGCTCTAGTTGCTGCCAATCAGATCAAGTTCAGCAAGACTACCGCTTTGTATACATTTCTTCACATAATTTGTGAAATTTAGAGAATAGCCTTACGTTTTTTATGTTAATTGCTATAGGAAAGAAATACTCAAATATTTTTATATATTTCTTATCGCTTCAACTTCCTTTGCTTTTTTATTCGTGCGCAAACTGATACACGCACAAGCATTTTGCCAATCATCAAAATTTCTCTCCATTCGCTGGACTGCGTACTCCTGCATCCACTTTTCTTTTACTTCCTTTTCCCACTAAACTATATCGCTGTTAATTTTATTACACTTTTATCAATATTTCGATATTTCTTGTATATTTTGCAACCATTCTATTGGACTATTTACACATAATTTCCAACGAATTTATTAATTATTGCAATTTCTCCAGCACAACAGAACTGTGAAAACCACTCGGAAAGAATTTTTGACAACACTGACAGTTAAAATTACGAATGACAGTGGAAGGCGCATAAGATGAATTGTAAAATAAAAAGAAAATAAGTAAAAACTGGTCAGTGCTGTTTCTTTTTTTATCACCAGAGGGAAAAAATCATGTCTGTTTCGTGTTTTGTGAGCAAAAACAGGAATAAACGATTTAAATTTATTGGCCCGTAGTTATAATCAAAATAAAGTCGAGTCCAAAGCTAAATTCAGATTTTTTTTGACAGATATCCCATTGTAAGTTATGTCAAAAAGTTGCTTTTAACTTTAGAGTCGACTTTATTTTGACTATAGCTACAGGACATTAAAATTAAAAATTCTATACGATTTTTTATCCCCATATATGAATGCATAATGGATATATAACGGCAAATGTTTTTAAACGTTTAGATGAATTCCATGAAAATATTTGCCTCCCCAATCCGATAGCACCTAACTCCGCCTTTTTAATGGGCGTTGGCAACCATTACAATAGAGGTGGTAAACTATCGATAGTCTATCGATATTCACCAGAGAAAAATCGGATTGGGGCGTATTCATAGTCAAAATTAAGTTGGTACTTAAAGTTGTCGTTCCGAATGTACTGATGACGTTAGGCCAGCATAGTTGCCACAATATATTGGGGCGTATGCATAAAACCTTAGCAATGCTTTTTCTTAAAGATTCACACATTTTACTCGATTTTATCAAACAAATTTAAGTGAAAGGTATGAAATGTTAAGTAAAAGCAATTGCTTATTTTTTATTCATACGGCCCATTATATTCATTTATATAAAATTATTGTCGCTTTGTGCAAGGCCCATTCACCATTTTTGTGTCTTAAATTAGGAAAATTTTGAAAAACTATCGAAAATGAAAAAAAAAAAAACCAAACCCATCGATAGTGCCTGTAGTGACATCGATAGTTTGCCACCTCTACATTACACATAGCCGGCAAAATTTATCAATTGGCGCAAAGCAAAAATAAACAAATTACAATGAAGTTCGTATTTCACTTTTTTGCCTATTAATCAATTTTAATAAATGTTATTTTTTTTATAGATTAAGTGTCGATGGCTTGCTGGTCTACTTTCCATACGAATACATCTATCCAGAGCAGTATGCATATATGCTGGAGTTGAAGCGCACGTTGGATGCGAAAGGCCACTGCCTGCTGGAGATGCCCTCGGGTACAGGCAAAACAGCAACACTACTTTCCCTCATCGTAGCATATATGATAGAACACCCTGATGTAATTCGAAAATTAATTTACTGTTCGCGTACCGTACCAGAGATTGAAAAAGTTATTGCGGAGTTACAAAATCTGATATCTTACTACGAAAAGAATGCACCAGAGCCACCCGGTTTGCTGGGCTTGGTGCTTAGCTCACGAAAAAATATGTGCATACATCCTGAGGTGAGTGCAGAGCGTGAGGGCAAGGCAGTCGATGGAAAATGTTATGGTCTAACAGCAAGTTACATCCGCGAACGGCACGAGGTAGAACCCGAAAATACGCCAATATGTGAGTGTATTGGAGTAATAATAAAAGGGGGTGAATCCTACAACTATTTCTAAAATAATATATACTTTGTTTCAGGCCAATATTATGAAGGTTTCTTATTAGAGGGCAAAGAATCAATGATGCCACATGGTGTGTATAGCATTGACGACCTCAAAGAATATGGACGCATGCGTAACTGGTGTCCATACTTTCTGGCACGCTTTGCTGTAACCTATGCACAAATTGTCGTCTACAGTTATCACTATCTGTTGGATCCAAAAATTGCCGAAGTTGTATCCAAAGAGATGACTAAGCAATGCTGCGTGGTCTTCGATGAGGCACACAACATCGATAATGTATGCATCGATTCGATGAGTGTGAAAATCAATCGACGTATAGTCGAGCGCAGTACAAATGCGCTGAATAATCTACAGAAAAGGGTGCAAGAGTAAGTTCTTAGAGTTGCTTTGAATATTTCTAAACTATTGCTTAAATTCTCTTCATTTCGTTCCATAAATTGATTAGCATCCGTGAAGAAGGTGCCAACCGATTGAATGAAGAGTATCAACGCATGGTGCAAGGTTTAAAAGATGCGCTGGTGCAACGTGAAACCGATATGGTAATGGCCAATCCCGTACTGCCCGCAGATGTGCTTGAGGGTCAGTTTGGAATTAAAGTTAAAATAACTTAAACGCAATTTGTGTATTGCTTTAAATTTCAGAGGCTGTGCCCGGCAATATACGTAACGCTGACCACTTTCTCAGTTTTCTGCGTCGATTTGTAGAGTATATTAAAACACGTCTACGTGTACATCATGTTGTGCAGGAGTCACCCGCTGGTTTCCTAAAGGATGTAGCTACGAAAATTTGCATTGAACGTAAGCCATTGCGTTTTTGTGCCGAACGACTGGCCAGCCTGCTGCGAACATTGGAAATTAACGACATGACAGAATATGGCGCGCTGACATTGGTAATAGAAATAAATAAAGCAAATATAGACTTATGATCATAAATGGTAAAATTCATCTGCAGATAACACATTTTGCTACTTTAGTTTCTACCTATACCAAAGGTTTCACAATAATTGTAGAGCCTTTCGATGATAAAACGCCGACCGTAATAAATCCTATACTGCACTTTAGCTGCTTGGACTCTTCCATAGCCATGGCGCCTGTGTTCAAACGCTTTCAAACGGTCGTTATTACATCAGGCACACTTTCGCCTATGGACATGTATCCGAAAATTTTAGACTTCGACCCAGTTATAATGAGTTCATTCACAATGACGCTGGCACGTCCTTGTTTGCTGCCAATGGTGAGTACCTCCCAGCGATCTAGACTGCTCTAATTTGAACGTTCACTGTAATTTCTTATGCAGATTGTTTCGAAGGGCAATGATCAGGTGGCGATTTCCTCGAAATTCGAAACACGTGAGGATACAGCAGTCATACGCAACTATGGCCAACTGCTGGTGGAGACGGCGAAGACAGTTCCCGATGGCATTGTTTGTTTCTTTACTTCTTATCTCTATCTTGAGTCTGTAGTCGCTTCGTGGTATGATCAAGGCATCGTGGACACCTTACTGCGCTATAAGCTGTTATTTATTGAAACACAGGACAATGCTGAAACAAGCTATGCGCTTATGAACTATGTTAAGGTGAGTTTGATTTTCTAAAATGAGACATATCACTCTACATTTACATTTTCCCAAATCGAAGGCATGTGATTGCGGCCGCGGCGCTGTGTTATTAGCCGTAGCGCGCGGTAAAGTATCTGAGGGTGTGGATTTTGACCATCATTATGGCCGTGCCGTACTTATGTTTGGCATTCCCTATGTCTATACACAGTCGCGCATACTTAAAGCGCGTCTTGACTATCTGCGCGATCAATTTCAGATAAGAGAAAATGATTTTCTCACCTTCGACGCAATGCGTCATGCGGCGCAGTGCGTGGGACGCGCCTTGCGTGGTAAAACCGATTACGGTATTATGATCTTTGCTGACAAGCGCTTTTCGCGTCAAGATAAACGTAGTCGCTTGCCCAAATGGATACAGGAACATTTAGTGGATAGTTTTTGTAATTTAAGCACAGAAGAAGCTATGCAGTTGGCACGACGTTGGTTACGACGCATGGCACAGCCATTTACGCGTGAAGATCAGTTGGGTATATCGCTGTTGACTTTGCAACAATTGGAGAATTCTGAGAAGGAGAAATTAGAGCGGCAGGCGCAAGGCAAAGAAGGCGTGGGCGGCGAAGTGATGGAACTGTGATGCGGAGGAAGAGCAGAGCCAGCTGAATGGAGGAAAAACATGCAATTCGTGCAAAATCCATTAAATTTTGTTATTAACGCTCTACCCAAAGTGGTAGGATTTCGTAATTCAATAAGAAAGTGCGGAATCTAAAATGAATTGGCGCCATATAGTGTTGTGTGCCACCAAAGGTTGAAATTAACAAAACAAATAAAAATTCATAATAATAATTACATTAATTTATTGTCAAATTAATTTAAAAATAACCACAAAGAAAAAACATAATTTAAACGTGTTACCAATTACCCACCTTTGAAATTTAGACCTGTTGATTGTGTGTTGCATTTGTCTTCCGGTTAGCAGCGGAATACCAGCCGGTTGTTGTTGTGACATAACTTATTGTCGGCTGCTTATTTTAGGGCTGCGCTTACTTTTTGCCTTGTGCTTTTTTATTTGTTGATGTTTTAATTTTTTACTCGACTTAATTTTTGCTGTTTTGTTTTTGTTTTGTCTCAAGTCCACCAAACTGATCGCACTGGTACGCTGGCCAGTTCAATAACCAATTAAATCGCCTAATTAACTGACAAGCCAAAAAAGCGCTAATGACATTGGGCGTTCTGTGCAATTCTAATACCTTTACCTTTCCTTCCGCTCAATTTATATGAGCAATTATTCTTAATTTTTTATTTTTTTTATTTTAGTTTTCCCCTTTTTATTGTAGCATTGGCTTAGATTTCCTATTTACTTTGTCTCTGCGCCGCTCCTTTCTAATTTATTTGCATACATAAAAATATATTAAAGTGCCTTTGCATTTTGGGTTTGTCCAAATCGATTATAAGCAGGCTTCTAATTATTTCCTAATTTCGTTTCGGTAAAAAAGCCTAATTTGTTTGTGGTTTTCTTAAACTTGTATACAGAGCGTTGCTTTATTCATTGTAGAAAATTTATTATTACTTCAACGTTGATATATTCTGACCGTTATACTCAATCTTAATCCCGATTTAACGTGTTCATTTTTGCTTTTGTCAAGTAAGTCTGTGAATTGACTATAGCTTTTTTTCGTCAACGACCTATATATAGCACAAATTATTTCTATACTAGTTGGGATCTACATCTAATATATTCCAGCTACAAATATCTGCAAACTTTTTGTAAATACATACCAATTTTACTAATGAGCCTCAACGATTTTAAGGCTTTTTCGAGGTTAGCTTGTATGAGAGGTATGCGTTAAAATTTACCAATTTTGTGCATTTTTTGTGTGTTCTTTTATAATATTGTTATAAACATACATACATATGTATGTACGTACAAACTTTCGGAGTAATATATTCACCGGTGCGCTTTTTACGTTTTTGACCTTAGGATTGCATGGGAGGTATGCTTTAAAATAAACCAATCACGCCCATTTTTTGTATTATTCTTGATTTATGTCCATTAAAGTTACATATGAAAAATTGAGACCCTACGCCAACTGCTGCTTTTTCGGGAGCACTCCTATGATCCCGACAATACATAGTTCAGACAATTTTCAAAAATCCAGATAATAAACAATCCAGACAGGACATAATACAGACATAACCAAATCCCGACCAAATCAAATCCAGGTAACATAGTATTCAGACAAGACAAAATCCCGACAACTGTAAATCCCAACAAGACACAATCCAGGCGAAATCCTCGCCAACCACCAGGACGAAAGGGGTCTGGCTACAGCTTGGTATGCCCGACCGCAAACCAATGCCGAGGGTAAACAACCGGAAAATCGTCGGAGCCTGCTCTCTTGCTCTCGGCGCACACAACAGAAATTGCCAACAAAGTACAGAGCCGTAGCAAAGTCAATTCCGCAATTCGGCAGTACTTTGGGAAAATACAAAGAAACATTGTTGCAAACATACAAGGCCATGGGCCGACGCGGTTCTAAATTATGCAGTGCCTGCGTGGTCGCCGGGGACAATTGGGACGCAGTGGACGAAGCTACAGACATCCCAAACACAACACCACTGACAGCCAGGGGATGTGTTCTAATGTCGCCAGAACATCACATCCACAGTTAATCCTGAATTCTCCCATTAAGGGGCACAACATCATGCTCAGCAAGCAGTTCCCAGTAGAGTGCTACAGTCGTCACACCTGGGACTGGGACTCTACAGTCGGGCTATTAACGGCATTTACAGATAGGCTATTACCACCTACACAAACTCCAGTCGAGTGAATGCTGTCATCAGTATACAATCACCAGCTGTGAATGAGTGTGAGCTTCAACTGCCACGAGACACCCGCGTAACTCTGGCCCGACTCGCCTCCCAACATCTAACATCAATGTCCAGCATGTGGAGATTCCCCCCATGAGGCCAACCACCTCTTCACATGCCCACTCAATCCAACTCAACTAATACCCCTCTCCCTCTGGTTCGACCCCATCGAAATATCAAGTTTCCTTGACCTACCGTTGTTTGAGCCTGCGGGCAATTACGGGCTAAGTAAGCTGTTACAACAACAACCATGTCTTTTATGCATTACTTTTGAGTGAAAACAGAAGACAATCATGACAAAACCCCGACAAAATATAAAAATAATTGCGCGATTTTTTAAATGATTTACATATTTTGCCGAGATTTCTTGGCTGGATTGTATACGCGCATAGTCGAAAAAATTTCCCATACAAATTGGCCCGTCCTAATCCTCTTTATGAGTGCTGTCTTTCAAGAAAATTGCATGTTTTGTTTTCAAATTTTTATCTATATACATATGTATGTACATAAATTCATTCTGTAACTCATCTCAGCTGCAAAACGTTCTAAAGATCAAGCTGTTCCCAACTAAAAACTATGGCTAATATCAAAATATTTTCCGAAGTTAACTATTATCAACTTTAAACGGCTTTCAACCTCAAAATGTTCTCAATTATAAACTGTTCCGAAGGGCCGATTTTGATATTAAATCAATTAGAAGCTTTTCTCTAAAGGAATACTTAATTATTTTCAGGCTATAAACTGTTGCCAAGTCTAAAGATAATTTTTTCTACAATGCCTTAATATTTCAATAACTGGCACAAAATTAAGCTACGAGTTTCAGCGGCTTTCGGTTTCGGTTTGTTAGACACTTAACTAACGAACTACAATTTAAACCAAATTCTAAGCACTAAAAACGTTAAAATAATGTTTTCTTCTCTGACTATCTATATTTTAGTAAGTACATAAAAAACATATTTATGTTTGCACATACATACATACATACGTGTTGCTACATACATACATACATATGCAAGTAATTAACTCTTCTAAGTAAAAATTACGATTATTTGTTACAATCATAAATTGTTTTTTTTTTCGCGCAAAAAATTGCTAATTAACTATAACTTTTTATAATTATCACGTAATTTGAGTAAATTAGTGTGGTTATTATTAGCAAGGTTGCCTGGGTGCTTGTGCCAACAGCTCGCTTGAAAATGCTTGGGATCACCGTGATTCATTTATACGAGTATACTCAATTAACTTACAAATTTTTTCTACGATAATTTTCAGCGCAAATGCTCATTTTTCTTAGAAGTCTTGGTGTAATTTCCGCTATAAATTTTTGAGTTTAATAAAATTTGTGCACTATTCCAAAGAAGAATATCATTATGTAAGCCATATAGGTTAAAAAAAGATGGATGTAGGAAAATTTACGTACTTAATTCAATCAAAATATAAGCTGTGCTGCTGCTAGGCATACAGGAACCAAATATGTAACCCTGCTGCTTTTTTAAGAAGAAATGATATTCGCATTTTTGACGAATACTTCAACTTTCGGGGAACATATTCTTGGTGCCAGTATAGTTATTACTCATATGAATTGGCGCTTTCTACATACTCACATATATATGTAGGTGTAGTAGCCTATAAAAAAATATAAAATTTTTCGAGGGAAACTTTTCTTTCTTTTAATATTTTTTGGTTCAAACATGAAAGCACAAATTACAATTTTTTTTTCAAGCAAAATCGGCAAAATTTAAGCTCATATTCATAGTTGCCACCTACCTGGAAATGAAAATACATAAATAGACATACATAAAAAGGAAAATATTTTAAGATTAGCATCGAATTGAAGGCGTTTGTTTTTGAACTTTAAATTTAATCATTAAAGCATATTTTAATAGAGATAGCAGCTGTCTGCAAAAAATTAAAAGAAAATTTAAACAATTTCAAAGCAGTTATCCAACTACAATTGTTAATGAATTCTTTTATACAAACAAAAAATTGTGTAGGGTTGCCACTTTTTTGATTTCAGGAGAATCAATTATTTTAAAATTAGCATAATTTTCAAATCTACCGTTTCCTTTATTCGACTTCCGGTGCTTTGGAAACATATATATGTACCTTCTCGTCTGCCTTCGTAAGGCAGGGCTATTGGGAGATCTTCCACTATAGCTTGGAAAGAAAAGAACTTAATCAAAAAGCCCTGCCTGAAAGCATAAATAAATATTTGGCATTTCTTTTGAATTTTGATGCTTCCTACTGATTCAATGGTGGTAGTACGCACCTCTAACCTACTCGGCTACAGCGACCGTTCTTATTTTGCCGACTGTGATAATTGCATTTCAAACTCTTCATGCTGATATATTTAGCTCATCTTGTTTGAGTTTTTTGAGAATTTCTTTTATAAAAGTATTTATCTTCTCTCAAATAATAGAAACGTGTTTTGAATATGATCCACATCAGTTCATGAATACGATTTTTAGTAATAACTCGTCTACACCGCCACCTGGCGTGTTAATTTTTTCATACAAATCTTATTTTCTTAATTTCAAACACAATAAAAAAGAACTAGCCATATTTTTAAGGAAAATCAAAACTACTAAAAATTCATAATTAACTTAAGAATAGAGTACCCAGAAAAATGTTTAGTAGCGTTGCAACAATTTTATTTTATCGAAATTTAAAACGAAAGTGACGATATTATGACATGAGTACAAACAGGTTATGTGCTAATGAAAAAGGAAGGTTTATTTAAATATTGCTTTAAAAAATTACACTTTAAAATCTTTTATTTAGTTTTTTTCCAAACTGGTATTATCAAAACAAAAAAAAAAAACGATTTTAAAAGAAAACCTTTCGAAAACTCATTTTCTTGTTAAATTGATTCAAACATTGGAATTTTTTAATACGAATTTCAATCTAAAAAACTTTGAGAAAATTCTTATTCATACCCAGTAAAATTTTAAGGAGATGGAAAATTCTTTTTTATTTATACTTTGGTTTCCTCAAAATTGGCAACGAAAACGAAAACGACAATACATGTAAATACAAATACATACCCATAAAAAAGAAAGCGTTTTTAAAATATGTACTTTTTTCAAAATTTTCCCTATTTCAACATCTACTTTTTAGATTTGGCATTATCAAAAAAAAAAAACAAATACAAAATAAATTTTAAATGAAATCTGTTCGAAAAATATTTAATTAAGACACTCTTTTTCTAAACAGTGTTACCAGCTTTTATAAAAATTAATTAAAGCATTCAAATTTTTTTATACGAACTTCAAACTAAAGGTGTTAGTGGAAATTCTTTTGCGCAGAAAAATTGTTGAGTAGAGTTGCCATTTTTCTATTCAAACTTATATTTCTGTAAAATTGAATGCGAAATGACAATTCTATACTAATATTGATACATAGCAATATTAAAATATTGTCCTAAAAATCTCGCAATTTCAAATTCGAATTGAAATTGAAATCGCATTTTCTTAGACAAAAGATTTACAATTATGCATCTAGTGCAATTGCATACGCACATAAATCCATACATATGTACTACAAATGTACTATGAAATTTTTAATATAGATGGGGGCCCATGTCGTATGAGTGACGTCAAATCCTTTCGGCGGTACTTTGGGTTACGTATACGCACGGCACTCAATTTTTAAGCAAAGAACCAGCAAAGTTAAAAAAATGCTGCCGAAATAAAAAAATCATAAATGATAAGTACATTATAAATACTGGAATATTACCACACCAACAAACTGTTGCTTCAAAATTTACTTCCTCTAAAAATATTTCCTTTACGTTTTTGTTGATTTGCGGTTTCAGCAGAGTAATAAACACAAATCAAAGGCTCTTTAGCTACAGCTAACAATGACTGTTGAAGCGAGTGGGGGTGGTGGTGCTGGTGGGGGAGCACTGTGAGAGCCCTGAGCAAGCGCTGTGAGCGAGCAGCGTACATGAATGACAATCAGTGACTCAGTGACCGCGGAGACAAGTCCAACTTGGTAAGGCGATATCAGCTAGTATAGAATTTCATAGCGGAACTTACCCCCTTGGCACACAAACGAAGGAGAGCCAGTGAATACATATACATAAATATATGTGCATATAAATATATATACATATGTAAAATGTATCGTTGTGTTCAATAAGCGGAAAGCTCAAAATATACTTCAATGCTGTTAGCAGAATATTGAAGTGTGCTTGATATTTGCAAACATTACAAGAACATAGAGAAGAGAATAATAACAATAACAACCAATAACTAGCAAGAATGGTAATTGAGAACTACAGTATTTGCTTATATTGAAGAGTAACTAACTAGTTTCTCAGGGGCTTTGGAAGCTTTTGGGAGCGTAGCGCTTCCTGTGGTCCTCCAAAGAAAACAAAGTTAACTCTCCGGCTTAAAGTATTGTAATTCAAACTGATGCTGACACTGAGCGGAAAATCAGCTGCCGAATTGGCAACGACTCAAATGCAGAGTATTATAAATAAGAAGAAAAAAACATAAGCGATAGCTACAACAACTACAAATATATTAACACAAAAATTGAAGCAAGCAAAAACAGCAGCTCGATCCCATACACACACACACACATGCGCACACACACACACATACACACCCGTACAAGCGTAACGTAATTCGCGCAACTGAGCAGGAGGCAAACCAATAAAACAACAGCAAAGAAGCAAAAAAAGAACTTTCGATTTTTCATAATAAAAAGGTTTCCACTAAATGACGAGCCGTTTAGTCGGCTATCGATGCTGTCGAAAGTGAAACGCGACACGCCAAACATCAAACACTAACAAATAAATAAACGCGCTGCAAACAATCGTGTGCAAAAAAATAAGAAAATAAAAATCCTAAGCAAAAAGTGCCCGCGACGCGTAACATAAACGTAAGAGTTCCATAGCGAAGTGAGGCGTTGAGGGGTGGCAGTGCGCGCAAAATATAAAAATTTTCGTAATTTCTAAATTGCGAAAATATACACATAAAACACACCAAAGCGACTTTTTTAAACCAAAAAAAAAAAAACGAAGAAAATTGAGTTTTCATATTCGCTCTAACAGTATTCGAAACGAATTTCATATTCTAATCCTTCAAAGCTGCCTACGCCTGTTTTTAATCACATTTTCTTAATATTCAACAAAATACCTTCAATTCAAAGTAGAATCGAAATGAAGCAGTTGAGTGAAACCGTCGGTCAACAGCAACAAAATGGCTTAGCTAGCACGGCAGGCCAGCATCAGGTAGTGCAACAACAACCGCCAAATCAAGAACGCCATTATGGCGAGAATCTGACGAGCAACGGCGACCAGAAAGAGCTGCAGACACAATTACAGCTGATGCAGGCGCCAGCACCACCACCAAGCAAGCATGGCTTGCAGCTGGCCTTAACGATGAATGGTAGCAGTGGTGGTGGCGGTAGCGGTGGTAGCAGCAGCAGTTCAAATGGCAAGAGTGTTGGCAGTGAAAATGGCAAGTGATTGAGAATTAACTACATACATACATATTTAGCCAGTATGCAAATTTACATTCATATATGGCCAGTTTAGAGAATAGAGGGTGACACAAAATTGGCTAAACTTTTATTTGGATAAATAACACGTACTTGAACCGATTTGGAGCTTTTTTAGAGACCAAAATATTTAGAACAGGTCGTGTGAGGTTTGTTATCCCTCCAATTTTTGACTCACTTGTGTGCAGCTTTTTTTGCATTATTTTTGTCATTAAAAATTTGTTTGGCTCAGTTATGACAATCGCAGCGAAACTATTATAATAAAAAGAAATTTGGAGATGTAATTTTTTTTCTAAATATTTCCAGTTTTTTACTGTAACGTTGCCAAACGTGTTGATTTTTAAAAGCAAAAATATTCTTAATTGTAAATATATATTAAGTTTTATATAAAAAAAAAAATTGTTTAACTAAAACTTTTATTTTTTAATATGGATTTAGAAATGCTTTTTAAAGCACAAAATTATAATTAAAATTTGGATTTTTTTAGAAAAGTCATAAACTTTCAAAATACAAATTTTTTGCTACTTTGAATGCACAAATTTCCTTCAAACGTGTTTTAAAAAAATTCTTATTTTGAGAAAAACCAGGTACTACTTATTGAATCATAAATTTAGAGAAAATTTTAATGCATTCGTATTATTCTATCAAAGGACCTGTATTATTGTGCAATTTTTTTTTAATTTTATAACACTGCTTAATTTTTACTTCTTGTTTATTTTTGGGTCACCCTTAAGCTTAATACACTATATAAAATTTATTGTTTAGAAATTTTATTTGAAATTGAAAACAAAATGTGACAATTCAAAATGTAATAGCCGGTTTCACCATCAATTTAAATGGAAAATGATTTTTCATTTTCTGTCAAATTCCATATTAGTCTTCTTATTGAATGCTTGTCGGATAAAATGTGAAATTCATGGCTTGAATCTAAAAAAGTCATAACCCTAATGTACATATTAAGGGAATGAACTCGGTTTTTCCAAACCGGCTTCAACTGATTTTTTTTTTGAGTATTTTTAGGCGGCTTTCTCGAAATCTTGATTTTTCGGAAACTAGCGCATTTGTGTTAATTATACATAGATAAAAAATTTCCATTGCAGAAAATTACTTCAAAAATAAGAGAAAAACTGAAAGAAAAACTTTCACTGTTGTCAGTGAATCAGTGAATCGACTACATGCTGTCTTCATTACAGAATACAGAAAAGGTTTCATCAAATTGCCATAATTTAAATAACTTGAAAAGCCGGTTTTAAAAAAAACGCGAATAATCGAAACCCCTAGTATATATGTATGTATTTATTAATACTTATATTATTTCACAACAAAACCAAACATAAGCGACATAGTAATCATTCATAATTTTTTCAATAACTATGTAGTTGCTATGGAGCATATCAGTTGTTTTAAATTTCGTAATATGCACATACATACATACATACATATCGCTCAGTTACTAAAAGACTGTCCTAACTCAAAAAAAGAAATTCTTAAACAAATGATGCAGAACTACTATTTATATCACTCTTCATATTGTATACAAATTTCGTGTTAAAACCTTGTGTAGTTTCCCACTATCACGAACTCTGACCCGACGTTTAATAAGCACTTCTTGCAGGCGAATGCGAGCTGCGGTCGCCTAGGCAGATCCGTAATGGCATGAATACTGAACCAGGCTAAACTCCTACTTGTCTAAATTTGACTCTAATATGCCCGTCGCACTTAAATATGCCCTTCATTTAAAGGAATCCAAATATATGTAAAACTAGTTCACCTTCCCCTAAAACTTACTCAACTAACACCTTTCCATCTGGTCCGTTACCATCGAAACCGCACTTTTCTCGCTGTGCCGGTAGATAATTTTTTCTAATCTACCCAGGGCAAAGTAGTCGCTCTATCTCCAAGCTGCATCAAAAATGTTAACTGTTTATTCAGAATCTCTAGAAAATTTTCGAGTATGCAGTTTTGAAGCCCATTGAATTTCGGTCTAATGAAGTGCAAGTTAAAACCGGCTTAAAAACCGCGTTGATTTTTGAGATTTTTTTTTTGAGACTGCTTTTGCAGTTTTTTTTTTATATATGTAACAAGCACAATTTGCAGAAACTGCCGTTACTTTGTTGTCCGGCATTTTAGTTCATAAAAAATTCACGCTTATATGAAAAAAGTGAAAAAACCGTTACCAAAAAAAAAAATTCGCAAAAATCAACGGGATTTTTTAGCCCTTTGAAACTTGCACTTCACTGGACTAAAATTGAATGGACTACAAAACTGCATACCAGATTTTCTAGAAACTCTGATTCAAAAGTTAAAAATTTTAATGAAATTTAAATTTTTTTAAACTTTTGTGAACTTTATGTCAAATGTGAAACTTTGATTTATATGGTTTATATGTATTACAGAATGAACTATATTTTCATAAATAATTAATGCAAAAAATTGTTCATGAAAATAATTGTGTATACTTTCATTTGTCGCCTTGTGTATATGTATTTCGTTTACATACATATTCCGGATACGCTTGGAAAAAAAAAGTAGAACATTCACCCTTATTGCGTAAGTCGTAAACTAGGCTGAATTGTACAACTCGACAACATTGGCATTGTCTACTATCGTGCTGAAATAATTAAACGACGAAAATCGTCGAAAACTATGCAGTACTGCCAATAAACCAAAATCGCATTCAAGTTACAAATCAGTGCTTTTACCTTAGTAGTTAGCTCCTTTTTCATAGAAAACTGTGCTCATTCATCTTCCTCATTTTCAAGGTTAATTTCAAAGCTTTCACACCGAAGGTCATAAAAAATGCAACCTTATGCGGTACCATGAATGCCGTTATATAGCAAAATGTTAGAATATTCCGTTACGGTAGGGTTACAATGTGGTTACTATGACTTCTTTTCCGCTACGTTTGAGATATGCAAGGCAATTACCGATATGCACTTACAGCAGCAATTGCCAATATTATTGGCATGCTTACATATGTATTTACATGTAATATTCAATGTCAATTTGACGCCATAAAATTTAAAGATTAAATTTCATAACACAAAGGCCTTTCACACGAATCACAAAATGTTCGTAATCAATATCAATATGCACTTGCGGTTTATGCGCGCTCACTAAGTATAGATGTATGTATGTATGTATGTATGTACTTCGGTGCATACCTAATCCCTAACATACAATGGATACTTTTCATAGAGAGCGTATTCGATTTTTGCGGTTCTAAATATTTCTATTGCCCATTAAATTCAAACACAAAAAATTCTAACAATCAATCTAATGCTGCAACTAACATTCCAAACAACATACATATGTACGCTATGCACATACATATGTAGGTATGTGTGCATGTGTATTGCATTTATAAGTGGCCGTTTGAGCTTACCAAGTACACATGTTCCTAAATATGTTGCGCCGCCTCATAGAGGTGACCCTTTACCACAATTACCTGTTTATATGTAGTACATACAAACATATCTGAACATGTCTGTTTGTATGCACGCTGATGAAATGCCTTCGAAATGGTAGCAATTCGAATCATAAAAAAATCTCAAATTACAGGCATTAAAATAGCTTCGACACGTGCAAGGAAAATACAAATACTACCAATATGCAAACATATAGATATGTAGTCATATAAATGCATTTAGATACATATTTAATCTATGCGGTTAAATGCTGAATGAGGTAAGCAATCGTGTATTAGCTTTAGTTGATGCCAATAGACTGCTCCGGTGCCCAGTTGGGGGAGTGTTTGTAAGATTACTTAAATAACTGACGTCGCCTGAGCATAGCCTTGGACATAGCTAGCGCTTGAGGTGCTATTTTTTATATCTACGTTTTATCCTCGTTCATATCTAATGTATAAGGTCATATGCTGACGATTCCATTTATGACCTACACTCGAAAAAGGATTTTGTACTCTTCTTCACTGTAAAGAGAGCAGGGACCATCTCCACTTCGAAATCCAAGGGCAACCATTTCTACCTCATGGCCCAAAGAAGTCATGACGTTGGCACACCTTTCCCGTTGGTGAACAGCTGGTAGATACCAAAGAAGGCGTCTTTACGTAGCCACGAACGAGTTCCAAACCTACTGACATTACATAACCCCTGAATTTTTGAAAGATGCCAAGAACGACTATCTTCGAGATGAAATACCCACTTTCACGAAATCTAACCGGACATTTAATAAGCACTTCTTGCAGGCGAAGGGCGAGCTTCGGTCGCCTGGGAGATCCACAATGGCATGAATACTGCACCAGGCTAAACTCTTACTTGTCCAAACTTGACTCTTATATGCCCGTCGCACTTAAATATGTCCTTCATTTAAAGGAACCCAAATATATGTAAAACTAGTTCACCTTCCCCTAAAACTCACTCAACTAACACCTTTCCGTCTGGTCCGTTATCACCGAAACCTCGCTGTTTCGATAGCTGATTTTTTTCTAATCTAACCAGGGCTAAGTAGTCGCTCTATCTCCAAATTGCTTTTGACGGCAGTGTACATCTACAGTTTCAGCTCCGTTTTGATTGGGTTACTAGTAAGTACGTTTTTAAAGCCTTTAAGTTTAGCGTGACGAATAGCGATGTTTTGATACTAAATATGTCTCTTCTTCTAAAAATTGTCTCTGCCGTGATGAGCATCTCTGTTTATTCATACTTCAAATGTGAGCAGTTGTACTTACCAGGTCTAAATCTCTTAAACTAAAACCATCCACTGGGAAAGTTGGTAGAAGTGAGCTCGCCGAGAGAATGTCAAAACCGGTGGAGGAGGGATCGCGGAATTCTTCACAAGGCTCAACCCGGGCGCATCAAAATGGCAAAAGCACTCGAATTCTTTCGCGTACAAAGCCCCAGTGCAAACCTCTTACCACGAATAACGTGCTTGCTGTTCCAAACTTTTGAAAAGGTAGTAGGTAGTACATGGTAGTAGATGTGTGAAAAAGACCTGCTGGAGG